TAAAGCAGGGCCCGTTGATCGAAGCAACCCTATAGGCGGCGCAGTGCGAAATCGTGCCGATGCACTATCTATCCTTCAAGATACACATGAGGTCACAAATACCTGTCATCTTTGCCTTATTGTATACCGCTGATGATCCTTTACGTATAGGCCTTGAAAGAGATATTTACTTTCCTCGAACCTGACCCTCTGAATCTCACTGTGGAGACAGTGTGTCGTCTTCACGCAAAGCTCATGCAAACGAGCCGGGTCCTATACAGTGACCCTGGTTCCGGATTCAGACTGTCTTACCTTAACATAGGAATAACTCGACAAGCCTCCCGCCTCAATGTCACCGCGACTTCTCGCGAGCAAGGCGTGAAGATACAGTTTTGTCCTTCTGATGAAGTTGAAGCAGAACTCAATATGTTCTGCAAACGTTTCAATGTTAGTATGGACTCAAAATCAATCATGCAAATGTACTGACAAGCTTTCAGGAACTTGTTCAACAACTTGATATGGACCCTTTCGCTTCTGCCGCATGGATCAGTCATGTTTTTCTCACAATTCATCCCTTTGAGGCAAGTTTCTCGTCGTGTCAAGAGTCACCTTCCAGTTATACTTCTACTCGACTGCGTAGGACGGAAATGGACGTTTGTCTAGAATCTTAGCGTCAATACCATTACTGAAGAATGGACTCCCGCCTCTCTGTATCCCGGCTTTCTATAAACCTGCATACCTTCTGCTTCTCAACAACGCATGTTTCATTGTCCCTACTTCCTTGTTTCAATGGCTGACTGTGACACAGATAAGAGCCAACCGAGACGGAGACTACCAAAGATTGATGCAAATGTTATATGATGCAACAAAGGCTTCCCTGAATATGCTAAAGGCGATGAGTTGACTTGGGACAACCAGTTCCAGTGGGATGTTGCCCCGGGTGTATACTTGAGGTACGGAAAGAGCAATGTAATGACAGTTCGCCAGCGAAATTCTGCTACGGAACCTATGGTAAAATTATATCATACATGAGCAAGCCAAAAATCTGCGCTAATGGACGGTCGACCAATTGCTTGAAACATTTTTGTACGAATGAAGAAGACAATTTATTGTGGGACGTGTCTTCATAAAACCAGTGGGGCATCCGGATTATCTGCCCTAGGATAGGGCATAGCACCGCGCTTGAGCGGGGGCAAGCTGTTGGGTGATATATGTTACGGCCACAGACCCTGTAACATGCTAATGATAGATGTAAATCAATTACAAACGACCGGAAGGACTATAATCGTTACCTTGGCCAGGTTCTGGGCATGAGGGAGGATCGTCCTTCATAAATTGCAGCATATGCGCTCATTACAGCGGGTCGCGTTCCTTGCTTCGATAGAACGTCCCAAGGTCCCTCATGGTTTGCCCGAAACCCTCCGTCATAGTAACCCTATTCCCAATCCATTTCGGCAACTTGGCTCGAATGGAAGATGAGGCATATCGACGATCCAGAAGTATGAGGGATGCCCAGTCTCCACGATGGCGAATGGCTCGACCTGTCGATAACTGTAGTTTAGCTCATAAGCGATACATAGAGCTGAAGAACACACCTATACTCTGATTGACCGCATTCATACACATATTTTCGTAAAGCTCCGCGGCAGCATCTTTCTGTCCAGGTTTCTTCTTCGTTACATTTGCCTCCAATCGGTTTACGTATTGCAGACGCTCCTTGAGTTCCGGTGAGCCAAGGTTAGCGAATGGAAGGCCGACGATGACGACGGCGCGAGCGAGGTCGTCAGCAAAGTTCAGACCCTCAGAGAGTTTGGCTCCTATGACTGCGAACAGAAGGGCACCCCGTATCTTATCGGATGCCGATTGTGGCTGATCACGGTATGTTTTTAGTATGCAGAGGGGGCAAAGTATAGATGCTCACGAGTGCATGAGCAGCAGCAGAATATTCCTGTAAAACCTTATCGACATCCGTGGTCTCCGCTGGTTCGAAAAAAGTCTGATGAAAAGAGTGAGCAAATATTCAGGCAGCAAGGTCAATCCCACCTTTTTCTTGACGCCAAATTTATCCAATAGTCCATTTTTGTGCCAAACCGCCTTGGCTGCATTCAGGAAGTTATATGACGGGAAGAAAACTATCAGTCCCGCGGGGACAATGCTAGAGAAGTTTAGCAGGATCTGTCCAAGCTCAGCAATCTAGAAGGTGAAGACTATTCAGCGTATCATGCAGATGCTTCAACTTCAGAGCATACGTACAACGGTCGCATCTCCCTGCACACCAGCCTTATAAGATAACTCGCTACCTCGTGGACCTTTGCTAACGACCATCGTCTGAAGGTTTTCGGGTGGAATTATATGTCCACAGGAGAAACTGGTTAGTTTATGCGGTGCGAGGTAACGGAACAGCTGGTTGTTAATATCCGATATCTGAAGCACGCGTCTTTCCTTCAGTTTCAACAGTATGCGAAAGCCGCGGAATACATACCGGGGACATTGTGCCTCCAGCAAGGATGATCGACCTCGCAACATCCACTACATCCTTGAAGGGGGGCGACGGATTGAGCAGCTGATACTTTAGTTCGACGGTCTCGTTCCCTGGAGTCCCGATGAGCACAAAGGTTACACGACCATCTGAATACTTTACTGTCAATAGACCCAGATCAGAAACACCGTGATGCCCACCCTCAGTTGCGCCTGTTAACGAGACTAGGAAGTTCTCCACAGTGTGTAGTGGAGGAATTTCTCCACGTCGTGGACGTGCAGCATCTAAGGGTCAGGGTTATGTCAGCTGCCTCATTAAGTGTACACAGCACTTACCACTGTTTTTTGCTGCCTCCTTGTCAGAATAGCCAGCAATCTTCCTCGCAACCTTAACGGGTAATCAGCCCACGGATCCTTGAGAGGTTTCAAACAATCATTACCTTGCTCGCCCTGAGATATCTCTCGACCTCTAACAAGTTTATGCCGGAGGCCTTCCTCCCAAGCCTCTCCAGCAGTTCCGCGGCTGTCATCACCTCAGCCTTTTCGGTCTGGGTAGATTTTCCTTGACTGTCCTTCGCGGGTGTGCCAGTCCGACACTCCTTCCATTCCAACACGTACTTCTTCAGTGCATCAAGGAATACGATTAGACGCTTCAGATGCAATAGGTTGGCTGGGCCAAGTCGATTTCTAAACTTTGACACATAAGTGCAGACTTGGATGAAAGATGTCGCGAGCGTCGTGTAGGGGAGACGTGTCGCGGAAAGAGAGAGAAGAGAAGGAATCAGATCTTAGATAGTCGCAATAAATACAGTGCTCAAAAGGTAAAAAATTGGCGACTACCCACTATGTGCTTCGTCGATGATGACAATTTGGTTGGTCAGATCAATTCCAAGTGCTTCGCGGGCGGTTTTCTGGAGTAATAGATTATACGGTAGTGTTACGAGCTGAGGAGACGATTTAGCGCCATTCAAGGGTTTAAAGCGCTTAAAAGGATGGTACCTCTGCCTGAGGAATAGCACGCCGTGCGCCGAAGTATGGGCATGTTTGTGCCCTTCGACCTGCAGATGCAAGCTCTTCAATGTCTTTTGGAGTTGCCTGAGACCTATCAGGATGCAAGCAATGTAGTAACCGAGAAGAGCTCACAAGAATTTGATCTCGGAAGTCGAGCATTTTCCCTTCATCGCCTACTGGCGGTAGATGTTGGCATCGTTTGTCGCCCTTTTCTGCGATAATAAGCAGACCATATCAAAATGCGGTGAACATCCGCCGAGGGATTTGAACGTACCACCAAGAAGCTCGCGACAGCCCTCGTCCAAGTCGCGGGACTTCGCTCGGAGATCATCATTAATACATAGTTGTTTTCGTGACCCGAGTGTTACTGTTCGGGTATATGAAGCTGGCCCCTCATCATTATCTAGATCATGGACGGGTCTCTTTCTTGTCGGCGGCGTCGACTCCTTGGCAGAAGGATGGTGGGAGAGAATGTGAGGGCTGAGTTTTAGCCTGCGAAGTTCAGGGAGGATTTGAGTGAGCTGTGAATGCGTTCGCGAGGCGTAGTATATCTTCGTGCATGTCGGTTCTGCCTCTCCGTCTCTGGAACCAGATCTCGGTGCTTTGTCCACCCTGCTGGCGCGTCAGCACACGACCAGCACTGAAGGAAAGGCGGGAGCAGACTTGGCCATGAGGGCACGCAGTGCAGGCGACATATACATGTCGTCATCGTCTGCCTGCGACTCGCTTTCAGGAAGAAATTGATCGTCATCTTCTTCGTCTGGTTGTTTCGCCGCTTCCACATCCCGCTTCTACAATTGCGAAAGTATAAGTCAAAGCATAAAGGCAGAAGATATGACCACGCACCGCTTTCTTAACCACCCTCGCCTTTGCGATTTTCTTCATCAAATCTTCGCGCTTTCTCGCTTCAGCCAACCGCCCCTCATACTCTCTTTCATCTGCCTCCAGCTCTCGTCTAACGCGTTCTCTCGTTTGCTCAATGACCCAGTCCTTAGCTATATACACATTTCAGTATAATATAAAGCGATTACGCGAGACTCATACCGTCGGTCTCATCCTCCACCACAGCTTGAAGTTTTCCCTTCTTCGCCCGATCCTTCTCATCCCTTAGCCATGTCAGGCTCGCGCATAGCAAAGTAAGTGTCTTTCCCTGTATAAGTGTCAATAAAAGGAAGGTTGAATATGATGACATTGAGGCTCACTGTGCCTGTGGGACTTTCGACAATAGTTACGTTCTTCTGCTCGATGGAGGCGTAAAGGTGTCGCATGAGCTCCACTTGGATCTCATAGGGTGGGTTATATGGGAATTCCGGGAATTTAGTAGGCGTTGGGAGGTCCAGATTGAGAGACATCACTTGGGGCACAGGCACCCTGGCCTTGGGAGGACAAGAGTGGGCTCGGACGTGACGAGCACGACGCGTTATGACCTTCACATGACCGTGACAGTAGATCTCGTGGCATCGATTTCATTTTCAACGCCTGCGATGATCATGCCCAACGTCCAAGATCCTTCTCCTGGATTCAGACAGTAAGGCGCTATAGCCAAGTGGTTACGGCGACAGATTAGAACTCGAACAAAGTCATGAGTCATCAACAATCTGTTCCTCTTTGAGGGCGCAGGTTCAAATCCTGCTGGCGTCGCTGATATGATGAATGCTAAATTTTTTTATCATTCCTTTAGTCACTGTATCCTAGAGGATTACACCTCCTATGTATATTCCATATTTACAAGAGAGGCCGACTGGTTACCAATTCAAATGATTGATCGCTTCCTCAATGACTCTATGATCTCCTCTGAGTAACCGAGCTCTTCCATGACCTATCCCAAGTCTCGACATCAGTATCCTCGGTCTCAAATCTCCATACGTACCTCCGTGGTATGTTCCGACAACCAAGGGGGTGGTCTGCGCACATCCATCTTCTTCCCATTATACATCACGGCCGGTGCGACCAATTTGATCTTCCCTGACCGAGGATGCTGCGCAGCGTTACGAGTCAGTGAACACGCTTCAAATTCTTCCACCGAGCAAGGACATACCTCGACCTCGACAGTCACTTGACGTGCTATTGCCTATAAGCATCGCATCACGGCGCGTTAGCAGTGTCCATCTGCAATAACTACTCAAACTCGCACCTGGGGATGATCAAATGTCTGCTGTATGTTGTTGATCGGGCCAAATGGGACGCTGAGAGAAGGCATCAAATCGACGCGCCGTGTCTATCAACAAGTCTTACCCCAGACCCGTGAACCGTTCCAGCCAGTGCTCGCGATCCTGCTTGAGCAACACGTCCGATATGATGCGGATCAGCTCCTCTCTATTTGCGACACGCGCATCGTTTGTGACGAATCTCGGGTCAGTGGCGAGCGCTGGGTTCTCCAAGATCTTCTCGGCGAGCAGTTTGAACTGGTGATTCGGGCTCAGGTAAGTACCTTTCCTCGAGGATATAAGGAGATCCCACCTGTTTGTTGTTCCCCGCCCCGATCATCAGAAATCCGTTCCTGCAGGGAAACACTTGGTATGGCACGATGGAGGGGTGTGCTGTTCCATGCCGAGAGGCGTCTTTGCCAGCAATTAGATAATTGGACGCGATGTTCGCGAGCCCAGCGATCTATACTCCCGGGACCTGTCAGACATGCCATCCAGAAAGCTCTTACAAAAATAGGTTACTTGAGTCTCGAATAAGTTACAGTCGATCCAGACGCCCTTTCCAGTTTGTTGGCGAGACAGTAAGGCGGCCATAATAGCCCCGTGCGCGTAAAGCCCCGTCGCTATATCCGTGGCGGCGACGCCGACTTTCGATGGTGGTCTATCAGGCTCGCCGGTTCTAAGGAGCATGAAACGTTAGACAAAGACCTCTCAGGCTGGACAACGACACTCACATATGCATCAACCCGGCCTCGGCCTCTACGATCACATCATAGCCCGCGGCTTTTCTATAGGGACCCGTCTGGCCATATCCTACACATGACCAGATGAATACGGACGCTTACACCTCAGCATAATGAAAGGCTTTTCTCACCAGTGATAGACGCGTAAATAAGCCGTGGATTAAGTTTCTTGCAGTCCTCATACCCAAGACCCATGGACGCAAGCTTCCCCGATATAAAGTTCTCAACGAGGATATCTGACTGTTTCACCAGCCTATGAATGATCTCCAGCCCTTCCGGAGTCTTGAAGTTGACCGTCATCGACCGCTTGTTCCGATTTACGGCAAGAAAGTAGGCCGACTCTGGAGGAAGGTGACTTGAGGCCATTGGGGCCGACAAAAGCGTCGGTGCTGAGGGTGGGCTCCACGATCCTGCGGAGTATGCTTAGCTCTGGGCGAGACACACCCTTTCGAATTCATTCGCGTCGGGGAGCGGTACATACTCGTGTCGTCCCCTTTACCGACTTCCTCGACTTTTATAACATCTGCACCCAGATCAGCCAGGAGCATCGTCGCCGTAGGTCCGGCAAGGACGCGAGTGAGGTCAAGAATCTTGATGCCTTGAAGAGGTGGGGGCATTCCACTGTCTGGCTGTGGGCTGTCTGGCTGTGGGTTCGTCACGCCTGTTTGGTATCGTCGTCGGTGACTGCGAGATAGATTAGAGAAGACACCAGCGCGCAGCAGTGAAGGCTGCCATATCGCTATTCGAATCATAATGCCAAAGCAGGCGAGTAGGAGAGTTGTAGGAGAGTGGTTGTAGCGACATCATGGCGGCTGGGAAATAGACTCCTCCGGATCAAACAAGCGATGTTGCCGAAGTACTCGAACTGGGCCATCCATTCGTCCAGAAGACCATGTGGCACAAACTTACAATCGTCGTGTATTAATTTGCGCGGAGACGCATTGTGAGAGCAGTACCATAGATTATCTGCGAATATATTAGGAACCTGACAAAACCGTGCGCTGAACGATGTAAATGAAATAAGCCGTGAAAAATATGGAATACAGTAGATAGCACCAGAGCAAGGGATTATTGCAACGTCCGTTGGGAGAGGTTATATTTGTAAAGTAATAGGACCATTCCCAGAATATATAGCAGAATATAGGGTGTTGGATGTGAATTGAGTGACTGGAAGTGGTGAGCTGAAAGCTGCAAGTTACCGCGATTAGCTCCAATTCTTCATTGTCATCATGAGACTCAATCACAACATACCGTATAGCATTTATTTAGTAGCGTCAAATGAGTCGCCACTGGTTGAAGACGCTCTCGAATGAGGTGAGACTCCTGACGCAAGTGTTGGGACGTCCCGGGAACAGTTCTCTGGTCGCGATAGGCGTCTTTCCGTCTGCTCAAAAATTGAACGTCAGTGAATCCGATATATCCAAGTAGAAAATTAAGTACAGGTTCTGTGGACCTCCTTTCTTCGATAGATGAGGGTCTTGACAATGTCTGCAGAGGTATAGTCGGTCGTGCGGGGATCGTATTCTCTGTATCGACAAGTGGGGTGTTCATCAGGAGCGTTAATGTTCTAATGATGGAGTCGAAATACGACGAGGACATTTTGCAGATTCGGAAAAAGGGGGATGGCTGTCGTTGGCGATGAAAGTCAATGAACACTGGGCTGACTTGTCGGACTCACTGGCAGGAGCCTCAGCCTGTGTAGACGATGCCGATGATGCCGATCCATGTCGTCATTGACACTATCGATCGATCAGTCGATCGTTTGCAGGCATGTTCGGGCCGTCCATCCAACGCTTTCATTGATCCTTTACCCCGCATTTTCGCGCTGCTCAACGACCAGAGTAATGTCTACATCGAACAAGACAGCTATCGTGACTGGGGCCTCCTCAGGTTATCACACTCGGAGCTCCCTGTATCTCAGATGCTCATGATCGCTTGCAGGCATTGGACGGACCAGCGCGGTTGCTCTATCAGTCGCGGGTTGGAATGTTGTCTTGACGGGAAGGCGTGTAGACGCTCTCAGGGAGACTGCAAAAATGGCCCCTCAATCCTCAAAGACCCTGATTATTGTCGGGGATGTCACGGACGAAGCGTTTGTCAAGCGCTTGTTCGCAGACACAGTCACCCATTTTGGTGTGTATCATTCATTGAAGCGCTTCCCTTCATCGATGGCTTCCAACTGTTCAAATAGGCCGATTGGATCTGCTATTCAACGTAAGTGCGTGTCTTCGTATACTCTCGTTGCGATGCTCGACGATTTCTTCAGAACGCAGGGATCGCCTCTTCTCCGGTACCGATCGATGAGCTGTCTCTGGGCGCCTTCCAACAGGTCATCAACGTCAATCTTATCGGGTCATTCCTGTGCACGCGTGAGGCAGTTAGAGTTTTCAAAGCACAGTCCCCTCCAGGAGGTGAGTACCCAAAGCGCTAGAATTGCTCCTGTCGCGCCAATGTACCCCCACGTCGAAAGGTCGGATCATCAACAATGGCTCCCTATCCGCGCACGTACCACGCCCTCACTCATCGCCATACACATGCTCCAAGCATGCTGTACTTGGACTCACGAAATGTACATCCCTCGACGGCCGTGCACATAACATAACATGCACTCAAGTCGACATCGGTGAGCTAGCTCGGCTCCACGACCTCGCAATTTCTGACGCGGACCACAGGAAATGCGCATACTGACATGGCAGCAGCGCACACAACCGGAGCTCTCCAACCAGACGGGCGTATGGTTCCCGAACCTACTATGAACGTCCAGCACGTCGCCGATTCCATTGTCCACATAGCGAGCTTACCCAACGACGTGACGGTCTTGGAATATAAGATTATGTGCGTGCCGTGTGCCTCGTTATTGGTCCACGGAATTTTCTGAAAGATATCAAAAGGCCTTCTGGAGTCCCATTCGTTGGTAGAGGGTAGTCGTGACCCGAATTGGTATAGGCGTGGCTTTTGTTTTTGTCTTTGGAATCTGAATGGGCAAACAAGTCAAATATTCACATGAAGAAACAAAGCTGGAAGAGATTCCTTTGCTGATATAAGAATACATTTGACAATAAAGCGGTATAAATTATATACATAATGCCCCAGTCACCGAGGAGTGGCGCTTGAAGACGCTGCGACCGCCTTTGTGTTGGGCATTTTCTTGTCCCCCGTCGCCAGCTGTTCGAGATCAGCTGGCTTGAAGTAATGGGGAGCCACTGCGGGAGAAGTATGGGTATAAGTATCTACGAGGAGAGTCATCGTAGTGGGGTCACGCACCTTCGAGCAGCCACGAGGGTTTGATTTCCATCACTTGCCTGATATTGAGATCATGTTAGCATGTTAAGATTTTGTAACCTTGGAAGGACATACCGCATGTAGGACTTCGAGGTCATCACGAGCTCATAATACAAGAGGGTCTTGACCGGCGGTTGGTGCTGGAACAAACTTGATGAAGGATGTATATACACTGTGTGATTTGTCTTCAGCGTGCGATACGAATCTCCACTCTTTTGTAGCTGAGCCTGGAGAGGATACGAACAATTAGCATGTCACGCTCACATTACGGAGAGGGGAAAGACTAACGGTGTTGTAAAAGTACCCAGCAGTCATGGCCTTCTGCACTGGCGTGATATCATTCGAGTTCGGATTGGACTGAATGATAACCTCCACGCGCTCACACAGCCCTGCAAGCTGGTCTCGAATATCACGCGCCCGACTGAGACTCTTGAACTGCAGGAACTGCTCGTAGCAGAATTGTTGCGAG